AGTTGGTGTTAGGAAACGACTGGACTTCTATCGGTCGCGTTTCTTTTGGCAGGGTGATGAACTTAAAAGAAAATACCGGCTTGCTAAATGGGACATCATCTATAGACCGAAAGACCAAGGGGGTATTGGTATTGAAAATCTTGAAGTTAAGAATAGATGTCTTCTTAGTAAGTGGTTGTGGAAGCTGTCTTCCGGGACTGAGGCCATGTGGGCGCAGACAAGTACCTCCAAACTAAAACATTGTCCCAGGTCGCAGTCAGGCCGACTGATTCGCCTTTCTGGAAAGGACTAATGAAAGTCAAACAATCTATATTCAATAGGACGAGATTTGTTATTGGAAACGGTACAAGTACACGTTTCTGGGAGGATACTTGGCTTGGTGAATCACCTTTAGCCATTCAATATCCGTCTTTATATCGGATTGCTCAACGGCGTGAGGTGTTCGTGGCAACGGTATTCCAATCTGTCCCCCTTAATATTCAGTTTCGACGGTCGCTAGCGGGCAATCGTTGGGAAGAATGACTCCATTTAGTTAGGAGACTGATGAAGGTTCAACTTTCTCACCAACCCGATATATTGCGTTGGAAGTTGACTAGTTCTGGAGTATTTACAGTTAAATCAATGTATATTGATGTTATTAATTCGAATGCTATTCCAACTTCCAAGTATGTTTGGGCTGTCAAAGTTCCTTTAAAAATTAAAGTGTTTATGTGGTTTGTCCATAAACAAGTTATTTTAACAAAGGACAACTTGATTAAACGCAATTGGACAGGACCTACTAGGTGTAGTTTCTGTGATCGGGGTGAGACGATTAAGCATTTATTCTTTGATTGCCCGTTGGCCAAAGTTCTTTGGCAGACGGTCCATATTGCTTTTAATATTACTCCACCGACTTCGGTCAATGCTTTATTTGGGACATGGCTTAATGGGGTTGAGCCTGAATTAGCAAGACATATTCGGATTGGAGTTTGCGCTTTGTTATGGACTATCTGAAATTGCAGAAATGATTTGGTTTTTAACAGAACATCACGGATTTATTTTTTGCAGGTTATTTTCCGAGCTACGGCACTGATCCGTTCGTGGTCGCTACTCACTCCGATGGAGGCCAGAGAGTATTTGGTTACTGGATCTATCCGTTGGGAGATGGTAGCTCGGGATATCTTCAACCGGTTTGAATGGCGGTCATGTAATAGGATAGGCAATTAGTTTCTCTATCTATTGTTAGCCAGCCGGTTGTGGCATCTTTTTCGGGCTAGTTTGTGTATCTAGCCGTCCGTCGCTCTGTGTGAGCTGCATTTATCGTTTTCTTTTTATTTGGCTGGAGACTGTGGAATCTTGTTGGCACTTTTTGTTATTTGGTTAATAAGATGGCCGTATGCATCGTTCTGATACAGAGGCAGGAGAGACCCCCTTTTCAAAAAGAAAATTTACCGGACTAACTTTACAGCAAATAATTTTTGTGTTAATCTAAAAAACAAAAGCACAGTGTTTTTCTACAGCGAAGGCATGACGCCCAGTTCCACGAGATGATCCCTTACAACCTGTGATGAGGCCTCATCACAGATACTGGAAAATAAAGCCCCATGGCACTACAGTGAAAACCATCATGTTAGATAGGAAGCGTAGCAAGATCAGAAGACGTCCATGGCCCTGGTAGCATAGCATCAGTGTGATCCTCTGTTTTCTTCAGTGTTGAAGGTCTCCAATTCCAACCTGGGCAGCGACATTATTCTTCTTTTATCTTGGTTTCCTTCACTTTGGCGCCGTAATCATATGGTTATTAGTACTCTGCATGTCAATGATACATAGCAAGGGCAAGTGATGAAAATAATTTTCTCTCCTCATTACCAAACTAACTTCACAGTAAATAAATTGTGTTACGCAGAGCAGAGTGGAAAGGAAAGAGACTGCATGCATATGACTAATACCTACAGACAAAAATTTTCTCTAGATCTTTTTTCCTCCATGAGGATGCGGTAAACACTGGAAAGTGCAGAGTGGTTTCCTTTTTTTCTGTTCCAACTTCGATTTGACCGCAGTTAATACAATACTGAAATCGAAATTATTCGGGCCGCCGTGCCTTGACCGCAAAAGACCTGTCGATGTATCAAATGTAGACTGAACATGCAATTTGCTCCTCTAATATCGATAACACTTAAATTTGACTATGACAAACATTTCACCTTACCTTTTGGTCATGCTACCTTTGCTTTGCTCTTCTGTGTAAGACACATTTGGCATGGCGCTAGGACCTTGTTCCCAGATGTTTGAGAAAAAGGGTTTCCCCCCGCTTTGTATTATAAAGTGAACCATCCGATACAACCAACAATAGGTGCTGGGGTGGAAGCAGCACAAGCACGCCCAAAAAAAAAGAAAAAGAAAAGGAAAAAGAAAAAGAAACAAATGTCGACAACGGCAGGTCGACGAAACAAAGATGACCAGTGACCGCTGCACCCATCGGAGAAGAACCACCGCGCTACTAGCACTCCGAGGCGTCGCGTACCGAGCAGCACCTTCAGGAAGGAATACGACAACGACGCCGCTGCTGCCCGGACAAGTCCAAGGGTTTCCCCCGGTACGCAGAGGGCAGTGGGGAAGGGGCAGATCCGACGCCCTTCAGGAAGGTCCGGCGGCGCCCGCAGGCGTCACCGCGTCGGTGATGGACGAGCCACCAGGGATTTCTCCCAACCCAAACAACCACCACCACCCCGGACGATCGGAAGTGCTCCACCAGAACTGCCGCCCACCAACATGTGCCACCACAGTCACTGAACCATCATCGCCGTCTCGCTGAGCCACCGACACGAGACCTGGAGGAGGGACGAGGGGTCAACGGGCTCGAGGACAGCCGCAACTCAGCCGATGGGAGGGGACTACCACCACCGCCGACGCGGAGCCGACCGGACGTGACAGCAGGAGCTTACCGGGCCCGCACAGGCCCGGCCGGACCCCAAAGGATCCGGACAACCCCTGCTGCCACGCTGCAGCACCTCGGCCGATGAAGCCGCCACCACCCGCATCCCTCGGCGCCGCGCCACCACCACTAGGGAGCCACGCCGCCACACGTCGGAACGCTGGCCCGCCCCAACCCAGCTGAGGCCCAGAAGAGCCCAGATCTGGGCGGAGCGGAGGCCGGCGGCTAGCCGCACCACCGTGCGCCCTGCGGCCAACGGCCGCGCCACCACATCAGAATCGCCCGTGCCCCGCGGACCCCGCCGCCAGGACGCACCATCGCCAGCCGAAGAACACCGCCACAGCCTCCATCGCCCGAGCAGAGGAGGTCGCGCGCGGGGACAGGCAGGCCCGCCGCCGCCGACACCACGCGGGCAAGGCCGGGCGGAGCGCGCTGGTGGCGGCGGGAGGAGGGAGGGGCTTGGGGCGCGCGGGAGGGGAGCGGCGTCGGGCCCCCCCGGTCGCCTCGCCTGGGGAGGCGACGCGAGGGGTACAAGGACGGGAGGAACGGGGGAGCGGGGGAGGCGAGCGGCGATGGCGGGCTCCGGCCGCGGCGGCGGCTCCGCGCGTGGGAGCCGACGGCGGTGGCGCGGAAACCCTAGGCGGAAGGGGAGCAGGGGGAAGAAGTCTGTTCCAAGAGATGCAGTTTCTAGAGCGGAGATACGAACTCTTCCCAGATGTTTACCTTGCCAGCAACATTATTTTTCTTTGAATTTTTTCCTTTCTTTGGCCCTACAGTAAGATGGAATTTCTCTGCATGCCAATGATATATAGCAGCGGCAAATAATATTTTTTTCCTTCATAAACAAACTACCTTTACCAAAAGAATTTTCTTTTGTCATTCACTCCACCAGCTATAGCATCTCAGAGAGAGAACGCTGTAACACTACGGACAAAATGTCTCTTTAGATCTTTCATCCTCCATGTGGATGTGGTAAATCCTGGCAAGTGCTGAATGGTTTCCTTTTTTCTCTGTTCCAACTTCGATTTGGCCGCAGTTAATATGATGCTGAAAAATCGCAATTATTCAGGCCACCGTGTCTTGACCGCAAAAGACCTGTCGATGTATCAGACATAGACTGAACGTACAATTTTCTGACAATGGCATGCATTTCGCCTTACCTTTTGGTTATGCTACCTTTGCTTTGCTCTTCTTTTACAGACACATTTGCCAAGGCGCTAGGACCTTGTTTCGGGATGTTTTCCTGGGCAGCAACATTATTTTTCTTTGGCCCTACAATCAGCTGGTATTTTCTGCATGTCAATGATATATAGCAGGGGCAAATGATTAAACTTTTTTCTCTTCATATAAACAAACCACCTTTAAAGTAAGTAATTTGCGTTACACAGAAAATTGAAAACAAATTGCATATACATGACTAAACTGTATCTAATGAACACCTAGCCATTCACTCCACCAACTCTAGCATCCCAGAGAGATAATACTGCAACACTACGGACAAAATGCCTATTTAAATTTGTTTTCCTCCA